ATATATTCTTTTCACTTTAGTCTGAAATTGTATTATGTAATTCCTTTTCTTTTTATATTAATCATCAATTTTATTTGTAAGGGGTGAGGTTTGATGGTTTATTATTAATCAACTATGATTTATGAAAAATGTTGTTACGTAGGCCGAAGTTTGAATCTTTTCAATTGATGCTCCAATCTATCTTTAGATTTTGAAGAATTTACTAGATTTTGAGTTGAAATTATGTTGCAAATTAGAAACATTATTATTATGATTAGTTGTATGTAAAACAATGTTTACAAAATTTCTCTATTTGTGAACTTCATATTTGATTATTAAATGAACCTCATTCTGAATGTCAGTTAATAATCATGTGGATCTAATGCTTATATTAACAATGATGCTGTAAGAGCTTGGAGTAATGTGGAATTGGTCTAATTGGAGTAGTGACTAATGTTATGTGGGCATTTTTCTATTTTTTGTTAAATGACAATTATAGCATTATGAAGTTGGTAACCAAATTTTTGTCTTAATTACTTACTTAAATTGTAGTATGAGTTGTTTCTGTTTCAAATTTGATTTTGGATTCTTGTGCGTGTATAAAATCTGACTTCTTCGTGATTGGTGGTTATAGATTTCGGCTTCCACAGAAACCCCGACCACCACCACAACGGCACGACCAGCAAAAGACCTAGGAGGAAGAAGGTACTATATGTCTATATCTCGTATGGTCATTTAATGATATTGTTTGATGCACCCTCTGATGTAATGCACCATCGTTTTCATTTACTTATTGAAATAATTATTCTGTTTCATACACTGTGATGATCTAATATGTGATTTTTTTCAGCTTTTGTTAGATATATGCTGAACTTAAAGAGGGGGAAGCTCACTGATGAAGGAGATATATCTGAAAAAAGGTTTATGTTGTTGAATTTGGTCAGATAGCTTATTCTTTTTTCTAGAAAAAATTCACTACTCATACTTCTATATCTCTAAACTAGAGCTGGCTTCATTACGTGTAACCTTGAACCAGATGAGATCACTAAATGAGAATCTAAAGAGAATTATGGTATAACAATGGAGGTCACCGTCTTAAGGTAATATTATTTTAAATCAGACTCTGTCATTTGTTTTAGGTAAATTCGATTGGGTAACTATTAATTTTACTATAATTAAAGGGCAGTACTTCAATTTAAGGTTTTTGCTAAGTGGAAACGTGGCTGAGGTTTAGAGAATTAGGCGGAGCAAGATGGTACTTTGACCCACCAAAGGATCTTTATCCTCTATTGAAGTAGCTTATGAGCTTTTTTTCCCTTCATTGAAGAGGCTCATGTGGTGAAATGGTTTAGGGGTTTTAGTTCCAAATGTTTAGTGGATTGCATGTTTTAATAATCTTGATTATTAGTAATTAGGTCAATGGCATCATTAATTTTTTTTTACTAGCATGATTCTTCTAAATTGGATTATTGTATTGATAATCAAAGTGATTATATTTCAATAAGTTAATACCGCCTGCTAAGTAAATCAATTGTTCCAGCAATATTTTCAATTTATCACTATCGTTAGTTTTATCTAACATAATTGTATTGTCCTTCATTGACAAGGTTGCAAACTGCAAAGGGGCTCACTATTGAAGGTATACTTAAGAACTGGACTAAGCCGAAGCCAGTTATTATGGAAGCTTGTGATGAGAAGGAGGATAGAGAGGCCTTGATAGATCTCTTTGGGAAAGCGAGAGATGAATGGATGGAGAAGGATCTGGCTACATGGATTAGAGATAGGTAATCTTTGTTTCCATCATGATCAATGTGCATATATGTGTTGTACTGTACCTAAAAAAACCACTAATTAATCCTCTCATAATGAAATATGTTGTACTGTTTAAGACTTTCAACAATTCAATCCTTGTTTTTTTTTTTTTACAATAATTCAATCCCTATTGCTTTTAACACCATGCTCACTCAAGAGATATAAAAGAGCTATTTTGCATAGGATCTGTAGATGGACTGAAGTGGATGGTAATAAAAAGGGTTGTAGTCTCACAGAGATCTTTTTCATTCTACTATATCTCCATTATTCTTTGCTTTAATCTACTTATTTTACTTTTATTTGTGCTTTATCAATTTGACCTTTCAGAGGTAGATTTATATTTTACCCACATACATTAAGCCAATAAGGTATGCGAATTTGAATAAAATGGTTTCTTAAGCACAATGCACGTATCCTATGAACAGATTCAACACTATATACACTTAACTAAAAAGATTGTTATTTTAAAAAAAAAAAAAGAAAACAAAACCTATTTATTTATAGAGGGATAAACCTGGAAGCTTAGACAAGGTTTAGTGGTGACAAAAGTTGATGTTTTTGCTAGAATTTTATCACATTATAATCTTTAATTGCTACGGAACATACTCATGGGAATTCTAGACACTCTAAGAATGTTATACGAGTGATTGATAGAGTAATATTAACTGGAATGTTGCTTGCAATCCTTAATTTTTCTAAATTTGTATGTTATCGGCGGACTGTATCCTGGTGTTTCTAATGTTCTAAGATTTACAAGCTCAAAGATCTACATCGTTACCACTATGCGGCCTCTTGTTTGTCTTTCACTTTAAAGTTAACCATGAGTCTTTCTGGTGCAACAATTTTATATCTCTACCCAAGCAAAAATAGGAGCTGGTAGGAATACGTGTGATTTTCTACTGTGTTTTTTTTAGAGCTGATGAGAAGATTTTTTGTGTTTGGATGGATTAATTTTAGTGTTGTTTTAATAGTGCTTCATTTTGATGAATTTGTTGCATTAACAAGGATGTTCTATTGGTTGTGCTTGTATTTTTTGCCCTTTGTATGCAGCAGATTTTTTGAGTAAGTTGCTTTTTATGCGCGCACTTCGCCGAATTCTTGTTCCTCCGTTGTGAGTTTCTTTTGTTACCCTTGGCTTAGGTGTGCAGTGTGTAGGGGTGTTCAAATCCGGGTACCCGGGTTTTCGGGTACCCGAAACTCCGGGTAACTCCGGATACCCGGATCTTCAGGTAGTTTGAATTTTGTCCCATGTCCCGACCCAAATTTCTCGGGTCGGAACATAGGGTACCCGGGTATACTAACTTTCATTTTTATTAAAAATTATTAAAAAAAATAACGGAATTATTGAATTAATTTTCCCACTATAAACAAGTAAATAACAATTGTTAACAACTGTATCACACAATGTCTAAAAAAAGAAAAAAAAAAAAAAAAAACAACTATCACAATTAGCTACTGCTACTTCGTATATAGGGAAAAAAAAAAGAATTAAAGCATGTTTATAATATTTAACTTTTTAAAGTAGGCAAAACACCATTTGCAACTACAATTGAACAACATAGTTCAAATCCAATCCGAATCCGTACCCTATCAACGCTAGCCGCTTCTCCGTCCATTGTGTCTTCTTATCGTGGACTCTCAGTCGCTGCAATCAGAGATCTCTTGGCCGCCGCAGTTCGATTTGCTTGATGAAGGCTTTCTCTCACAAGTTGTGCCTTATTCTCTTAATGTTTGCTGTTAATTAGAGAGAGAAGGAGAGATAGAAAGAGGAAGAAGGATTGAAGGTCTGATTGATAATATGATATGAAGAAGTGAGGAACCACCGTGACAAAAAGATACTAGAGAAATAGTGAGTAGCTGCTATTTTTTTATGAGGGATTGAGGAAAATAAAACCCTAAGTGGCTAGGTGAGAAGTGGGCTGGGCTTTGTTCAACTGAGGAAGTTTTTTTTTTTTATGTTATTAATTTACTTTCGGGTATCCGGGTATCCGCAAAAAATAAATTGCGGCCCATGACCTGACCCGCGAACAGGCTATTTTGCCGGGTCGGGTACCCGTCACGTAAAAAAGAAAAAAAATGTGAATTACCCGTCGGGTTTTTTGCGGGTCATCGGGTTGTCGGGTCGGGATTTTTTGAACACTCCTAGCAGTGTGTTTCGCCTTCTGTCCAGAAAATGATCCTGCATTTTCCCTTAGAAAAGTCTTATATTCCCTACCGATTTACCTCTCCTATTTCTCTTAGTTAAGAAATCTTTTCTTGCCGATTGCAGGTTATGGATTCAAAACCAAGCAAAGTTTGCATTGCTTTCCAGCCTCCTCTAAATCATATAACGGACTTCCTTTAGCTACCAAACCCCACTTATGAACTTGTAGGCATAGCTAAGAATAGTGTATATGTGTGTGTGTGTGAGGGCTGGCATCAGGCAACCTAGGTTTGTGTGGTTTGGTGGGAAGCTGACATAGTGGAGCAGGTATGTAAAAGTGCAACTCATTAGTAACTGATACGCCGTTTTAGAGTTCGTGTGGCTGCTTTAACTTCTGATAGGCTTAAAATGTATCAGCTTTGTGTAAAGCTAGGCATAAGTGGATAGAGGTTTTAGAAGAAAAGAAGGGGTCTACCTGGTCCTAATGTACAAGGAAATATGGATACAAGGCCACCTGTTGTCAACGCTCATGTTTCAATTGACTGTGTTGGCTTCTTAGAAATGGTTGCACGTAAAACTGGTGTAATTGTCACTTCAGCTGAAATTGCTTCAGTTGAAGGACATAGTTTTATTGCTTAGGTTATGGTCGACTGTGCTAATACAAGATGTGGTCTGGAATGTATTTTTAGTGAGCCATCTTCTGAGGCTTCTGTTGCTAAGCAAAAGCTTAAGGCTGCAAAGAAAGAAGGGTGTTATTTACACACCAATACAACTAGAGATTGTTGATGCAAATTCTGGTGTTGCGCCGGAGAGTGAATTTGATATAGATTCATAAGATTTACTCACATAGCTGCATACATAGGCACCCTTAATGACAATCGTGTGTTTGATATAGCTTGGTTTGAATCTTTAGAAACCATGTGAGTAAGTCTTATTTTGGATATGTGAGTAAATCTTATTTGAATAAGTAGTCACTCTTTTATATCGCTAACAGTGTTCGCCTTTTGGATTACACAAGTACTCTTTACTTAGGCAGAATAAATTGATTTGTTCCAGTGTACACGATTCTCAGTTTTTACTTTACACCTTGAGTTATCCTGTAGTTTGCATTGACTTTTAAGTCTTATACACACTTCAAGGAGCAGGGCTATATAGGGTGGGAATTCTCCCAATTAATCTGTCCATGTTTGTTTAATTATTCAGATTAAGGGTTTGAGAGAAACCCCAATCTATCTAATGAAGGCAATGTCCATCACAATAAGAAGTAAATAAAGTGTTCAAGTTGAACACCTTGCTCGCTGCTCCAGGCCTCCAGTTGGTTATCTCCATTCTCCCGTGAGCTTATTTTTGTATCCTAGCAGTTTCTCTCTGCTCCAGTGCTCCCTCACGTGGCTGCTTTTTCTCCCCCTTCTCTTTCTCCTTACTCGATTGAGGCCGGCGTTTGTTGTTTTCTTCTTTCTATTTAATTGTTGTGTGTGTGAGTAAAGTATGAGGCAGTAACCTAACTGTAGCTTTCCAGATACTAGGGGCTTGCCCGCGGATCAATTTTTCACTACAGCCAGGGGTGTGTGAACTGTGAAGAGGTGTTACTTTCCTTTTTGAATTTGATATGATGACTTGTTTTTTTTGGACAAGCAGTTAGCAGATTTAATTTCTTAATTGTTGGGAAGTTGCACAAGCCTATATATGTCATTGCTGGGTTTATTTTATCTTGATAATTGTGTTTTGGATATATTTGTGTCAGGGAATTCTCCAATAACAAGGCAAGCTTCTTAAAAAGAAGAGATTTATGCCATCATCTCTGACATCAAATTCTCATCGCTTGTTGACGGCACTTTTGGACTCAAGGCATAAAAAGGTCTACAAGGTTAAGAACTGTATAACTGACGTTGATCTTGAGAAGGAGAAGGAGCAAAAAGAAAAGGTAATTGGTATCATTGAAAAGCTTTTACTTATAAACTGTATGGTTGTGCACATGTTAAAAATATGTATTTGCAGGCCGAAAGTCAGACTATCAAAGTCAATTCGATTCTAAACAAGAAGCAAGAGAGAGTGAATCGGATGTACAAAAAATCATCAGATTGAGGACGACAACTTTCTCCTGGATTGTTAGAGGACGCACTTGAAGAGGTTCTTTCTCAATCTCCTCTGTCTATAATGTACCAACATATGATGTTAAATAATATTAATGGTGGAGGAGGACACACTTGGCTTATTTGTACAAACATTAACATCTTAGAATCACTTCCTGTAGAATACATAGAGCATAATGCAAAATGAGAGCAATATCAAGATCATCTTATAAAGAAATTACTCCAATGAAATCTCTAGACAAAGTCAAGTATTTGAATGAAATTAGATAGCAAAAATAGGCTAAAGACAATAACATGTTAAGGATCATTGAGAATAAAAAGGGGATATAAAGGAGAGCACCACAATTATGCTTTTCTGCATCTTATTACATTCTTGTGATTTAATATTTTCCCTAATGCTCGTTAACAAAACAAAAAAATTGACATATACTCTGCAAAAATTCCATAGCTGAAATTTGCTATAGTTTGCAGAAACCCGTTCACTGAACACCACAGCTCACCAAGCAATTATGTTGCTACTCATAATTATTACTTCATCCTATATCCTGTATTTTTTCCCCTTTTGTTATAATTTTTTACTTCTTCAGGACATTTGCAAAACCTTAAATACGATGAGGGAGATTGCTGTAAAATGAAGAAACACTCAATGCATCTCAAGAGGTAATTTCTCCCCCCGAAAAATAAAGCTTGCCAAGTTTTACTCTTCAATTAATTTTTTCAATAATTTTAGAATTGTTCTCTTAACTGGTTTCCTTTATGGTTTTTTTTTTTCCTAATCAACTTTTTTATAAACTACTAATGTGATTATACGTTATTTTAAATTTAATCAAGTTTGTAAACTATTGTACTAATTTGCTTTTATTAACACACAATTAGGCTACTAAACTTTTATTGAGTTTCGAAGGTAGTCTGTCAACGGAGATTGTCCTTATCCAATCGCCCTGATTGCACCACTTAGGTAACCTCTTTTTTCTATTTTCTTAATTTTGGGGTTTCCAAGTGTTTTGAGACTTTTTTCCCCCAATTTAATATGTGTTATTTAGTGACTGGAACAATATTTTGTCTGGTTTATTTAGATTCCCTTGGGTTTATATTATTTACAAATTATTCCTTATGGTTCTAATTCGGTTTTACTGGGTTTATTTCGGTTGATAAAAGCTTAATTTTGAATTGTTTTATTTTTGTACTTTTACAAAAATATATAATTTAGTCATTCATGGTTCATTTTCATTTTCTCGATCTTAACTCTTCAATCCACAAGAAGAGTTAATTGGATTCTGATGCAATTTCTATAGTTTTTGGTCAAATATATAGGCTCTGTTTGGTAAATAGCTTATCGGGGGTATATTAGCTTATTTGACTAACTTTAGCTGGAAAATGAACTGCCCTAGAAATAATTGGTTATAACCATGGTAAAGCAACATAGATGTTTGGCGTGATATCAATATGAATGAATGATTTTTGCAGGAGGAAAAGATGGTTCAAAAGGCAGAGAAGCTCACAAAAGAGGATAAGGAGTAGAGATATGCAATTGCCACCAAGAACCAAGCTGATTCTCAGAAGCGGCTGAAGGAGTTGGGAGAAAAAATCCCCGATGTAGTAAAGGAGAAAGTTCAAACCAAACTAAAAGACCTCAAGGGATGCTATGGAAGGTGGCATTACTTAGAAAATTAAGGATGCCATAGCTATAGTAAACCAGGAAGTAATGTAGATGGGGCAATCTTTGTACAGTCAACCAGGAGTAGTTGGGGCACGTTCTACAATGAGAACTCCTGCTGATTCGACTGAATCTACTAGCCAGTACAAATGATACCGATAAATGCTAATATCTCAGCAGCGACAGAACATCGATTTTGGGTTCCTTGGTACGCCAGTTACCCCTATAAGCAATTTGACATGATTAAGTAGTCGATTTGATTACGACAGCAAATAAGTGATCGACCTGATGAAAGATCGTCTCACTTAGCTTAAAGCGCCTAAGCATTGGCTCAAAAGCAGAAAAGGCACTGACGTATAAGTTCAAAGCAACGAAAGCGCCGACGTACAGGCATAGCGGAAGCAAAGTTCGAGCGAGCTTTAAAGATTGACAAGCGTTGTTCTTCGGTAATTTTCTTCGGAATATTATCGCAACAACTGAGGATGACTTCAAGTAAAGTTATTTTCGACAGCTTTCGCTAAGATTGTGGAGGTTGTCACTAAAGATTTGAGAAGATAGCACGAGATGGGCGGTTTTCAACGGCATTCGCTAAGATTGTGGAAGTTGTCACCAAAGATTTGAGAAGATAGCACGAGATGGGCGGTCTTCGACGGCGTTCGCTAAGTTTGTGGAAGTGTCACCAAAGATTTGAGAAGATAGCACGAGATGGGCGGTTTTCGACGGCGTTCGCTAAGATTGTGGAAGTTGTCACCCAAGATTTGAGGAGATAACACGAGATGGGCGGTCTTCGACGGCATTCGCTGAGATTGTGGAGGTTGTCACCTAAGGCTTGAGAAGATAGCATGAGATGGGCGGTCTTCGACGGCGTTCGCTAGGATTGTGGAGGTTGTCACCAAGATATGAGAAGAGCGGTTCATGATGAGGCGGTCTTCGACGACTTTTGCTATGATTGGAAAGGTTGTCACTATGATTCAAGAAAAGGCTCAAGATGTAGCAACATTGATCGACGGCGTTCCCTAGATTGCGGAAAATCATCAAAACAAACAGCAAGATGGCGTTCCCTAGATTGTGGAGAGTTGTCACAAACAACTGAGGATTGTTTCAAGAGAAGCAATCTTCGATAGTATTCCCTTGGATGTGGGGTATTATCAATGCGGATGGGGATTGTTTCAAGAGAAGCAATCTTCGGTAGTATTCCCTTGGACGTGGAATATTATCAAAGCGGAGGAGGATCGTTTTAGGAGAAGCAATCTTCTAATTTGGAAGCAGTTACAGGCGTAGCAGTTTTCAAGCGGGATGGCATTCTCTAGCTTGCAGAAGGTCATCAAAACAACAGTAAAGCGGCAGCGAATCGGTTACTTTCAGAGACGTGTGCTCGACGGTGCATGATACGCGTTTCTTAACTCTTTTATCTGTTTAACTAACGATAGTTTTGCAGATATCGGCGTTACAAGACTGATATAGGATCGCAGAACATTCTGAATCATTCTCCGTCCCTATCGCTACTTTGGCTTTCGTTTTTCGAAACTCGCGTTTCTCCAAACTCAGTCAAAGTGGGGGCTTCTGTAGACACCCATTTGTGTCTCCCCAAAACCAAACCCAGTGAAGAGTACCTTTCACGTCGAATCATAATCGAATGAAGCGAAAGTGTGGAAAGTCTAGTCTTGCGGAAAGTTTTATTTTCTTTTCTCTTCTCTTTGTTTTTGAAAACTTATTTTTAAGAAAACAGCCAATCCAGTTTGGTTGGTCCGTGATATGGGTCCAATAGTAGTGTAGTTGGATGGGGCCTGCAAAGACTTTTCCAACGATATATTATAAGCCCAATTCCGATGAATATTGAGGAAGTTATGACCAATTTACTAAACTGGGCCCGGTTTGAGCTTTATATACGGCCCAATGATCTAGGGGAGGGCCTAATATGATTTATCATTTCTAATGCAATTAGGAATGGTTTTGGTCTTCTAGAATCTTCTAGAAGGTTCTTTTCATTCCTAATTCAATTAGCATTGATAAATTGACTTTTGTTGACTTTTCAGAGTTTTAATCAAAATCAAATAGTACTTTCGAGGAAATTATATAATTTTATCCTCCAGTACGGCAAACTTATCTGATTTTCGAAAACGCGTTAAATTTAAGCTTGGCGTCTGACCCCAGGCCTTGGCGCTTGGAACTAGGCCTGGCGCTAGCCATTGGTGCCTGGCGCTAGTGTTGGTGCCTGGCGCCAGCTAGCCAGGGTTGGCGCCAGCTCTGTTTTTTTATGCGTCAGACTCTGTTTTGTTTATTTTATCTTTTTGGCTGATTTTCTGTATAAATATCGTATTAAAAACTCCGTTTTCAATAATCTACATGCACCTACAATCAGTTTTCATTCGCAATCATTAATTCTCTAATTCTCTCTTAATCATTCACCAATTCTCATGATCTACAATCAATTTTAATTAGCATTCATTCATCGTTCTTTCTTTAAACTTTGTTTTCATATACAAAATTCCGCATTCACAAGATCTAGAAACACCTAGCCATATTCGAAGTTGCCTTCGCCCTAGATGTGAAAGGTTTAATTTCTGAGGGTTTGGTCCCAAATCTCTATTTCAATTATTTAGTTTAATTGTTTGTTTTATTATTTTCTTTGAAGTTACTAACGTGTGTATTTTATTATTAGAAAGAGGTACGAGGCATCAAAGTAAGTACTTTAATTGATTTTTATTGATGTTATGATGTAGAAATCATGTTTATATTGTTATTATGATATTCCTAGTATCATGTCTAGGGTAATTTTAATATTAAATATGCTTATTATGATTCCTGTGATGTTTCCTACTCTCTTCCTAATATTTATTCATGTTAGTATCATGTTAGGGTTAAAGATTTGATTTTTATTGCTTAGTGACATGGTAGGGTTTGTTATTAATCTTATTAGTATCATGCCTAGGATCTTGCTATGTTTATTATGCTTTAACATGATTTTTTATTATGATTTCATGATTATAATTGTTATGATTTATGATGATATTATTATTATTATTATTATTATTATTATTATTATTATTATTATGATTAATATTATTGTTATTATGATGATTATTATTATTCATGATATTGATTATTATTATGTTGCTTGATTATTTGTTTATTGCTTGATCACCTTTATTGCATGTTTAAAGGGAATTCGTACTTGTAATCATGCTTAATAAGATAATTAATAATCTTGTTTAGGGTTAATGTGATTATATTTCTAGTGATCGCTAATAATAGTTTATTTGTGCATTAATATTCAACCAACATAGATAAACAGGTTTAGGGTTAATCCTATTGATTTCATGTTAGTCAGAAAGCGCACATGAATACAATCAGAATAAAGTAGAGGCCTATTATTAGGGCAGGTTCAATCTCTTTTAGGTTGGATTTGTACCTTCATCCCCGAACCCTTATTTGGTTCTAGACCTTATGGAGTTGACGATCTCTTGGATCGTTAAGGGGTGTAACATTCACCTCGTGGACGGTTTACAAGTTCCTAAAAAACTTGTTGGCGACTCTTTTGCTCTATCTTCTTCCCTTTTGGACGCCACCGTACTTTAGTATATGATCACAGTGGGGTTCAAGCTAGTGGGATTTAAAGGCTTGAAATTATTCCCTACACGGTTCGATTCTTTTTCGGTTCAGTTTGATTTCAGTTCGGTTTAAAACTGGTTCGGCTTGTTAACGGGTTCGGTTCTTATACGGTTTGACATTATTCGAATCGGTTCGGTTTCGGTTTTACTTAAATACGGTTCTGGTCGGTTTTCGGTATTACAAAATCGGTTTTTAATCGGTTCGGTTCTCATTTGGGTCGGTTGGTTTCGGACAGTTAAACGGTTTCGGTTTGAAATTTGAAAGCACTAGGTATTACGTATTGTCATTACGAGACTTAACCACACTTAACTAACGTGTTATAATTTTGCCAATTATTGACAAATGCAAATGCACACTATTTTAAACACACCAATTGTTTCGGGGTTTTCTGATGTCCTGCGGGAGAGTTACAATTCCGAGACTGGAACCGGACGCCTGTACCTGCAAAACAACGGAGACTCCTGGTGGTGGGAGCTCCGCCTCCGACGGTCAAGTTAGTACTTGATTAAGGAGTAATTAATGCGGAAATTAAAGTGATTGGTTCTCTCTAGGTGAGAGTGTTTAATGTAGGTAATCTGCTTTGTTAGCGTGATCATCCTGTTATCTCTGTGTGATCTCTGTAATCCCTCCTTAATGAGGATTAAGGGAGGTATTTATAACCTTGGGAAACGTGTCAATCCTAGGTTTAGGTTAACCTAGGGCTGATTGGGCTTCCCTCGGAAGTTGGGCCTGGGTGGCCGGTTATCCCAGGTGTCATGGGAAGGACACATGTCATGTCGTAATTGGTCCAAGGTGGACGGATCATTGCTTGACACGTGGCAGGCTCCTATTGGCCCATGTGATGGACACATGGCGGAACCTGATTGGTCCACTTGTCAGATGGTGATTGGTAGGAGCAAAATCCCCTAATCATTTGCCCCTCATAGGTGGCACGTGACTGGTCACGTGTTACCTGTGACAGGTGTCGAACTGTAACAGGCGACGGCCTGCTACAGGTGTCACTCAGCGAAGGGCCGAGAGATTCTCCCGCCCAAATTTTGAATTCTGGAAGTGACCCTTTGCCTTCTCACTTCGCCTATATAAAGGAGTGTTGACTTGAGTCATTTTCACACTTGAGAACTTTGTGAGAGAACATTCGGACCCCTGAACTTGCTCTGACATTTTGGACCTTTTCTACCTACCGCCTGTTCTGACAAGCCGACTGCACAGGATTTTCAGCACTTCATCAATCGTCACTCGTTCAGGTAACTGTCGGTTCTCTTACTCTTAATTTTCTTTTTATTTTTTGAAATGGCACCACGGAAGCACACGACACGACCTAGGTTAGTGATCAGCCGGTCACCGGGGACGGCTGAATCTAGGACTAGGAGTGTCGCCTGCCCTTTTCCGGACCCATCTTTTCCCTTTATACAAAGTCCGACTGTATCTGTGTCTATGTAGAGCAGGATGGCCAGAACAAAAAAGACTGCTAGGATCTCAAATTCAGACGGCTCCTCCCACAGGATGCCGATTAGTGAAACATCTGACCAGGCGCCAGATGTGGAAGTGAAACAAAGCGGCTTGAAAGCCGGCAGTTCTGAGGGAGGAGTCAAAGTGACCCCTTCCCATTTTACAGTTGACAATTCTACATTCT